TGATTGCTTTTCTCATTTTCACATTTTTCCACATCGCCTTTCACGTTGCTAAGTTTCCAGCAAATAAATGTTTATATAAACTTAAAGCACAAGAGAACCAATTTAACTCTCTTCTCAAAGAAACACTGCCAAGACCTCATGTTGCAGTGTAGCTCCCTCAGATTTTCTAGTTGCTGCTCTAAGTCAGCTGAGCTCAGAGTCGTGGCAGGAATAACCCTTTGAAAAAAACATTAGGTGAAATTGTGTAACCTGAGGTAGTAAGTCTATGAAAAAGAGAGACTTAAAACCATAGTTAAGATTTGAAACCCACATTTTATTTTTAGAAATATTTAAAACATTATATTCAAATGCTAAGCAAACATAAAATCCTTACTCTGAGATCTGATTAGAGGGTCCAGGAAATGACATAGCAGCAAGAAAGGATAAGCTAGTCCTTTTGTCCATTATGAAAAATCTGCTTATGTCTGGCCTTGACCGACAACTGTCTGTAGATAATGGTTTCTTCCTTCCAAAGACAGGACCTGTACTGAGGCGATGGCTCACCTCTCACCGTTATGCCCCGGAGCTGGGGAAGGGGAGCGAGGGGCTTGGCTCATATTTCTCATGTGGGTCTTCTAATTAGAAATTCATTAGGGCTGCGAAGCTCCGGCTGTAAAATGCAACACTCTTCCACACACAGCAGACGGTGGACCCCACTGATCACGCAAACCCTACTCAGGCTTCCTTAATCTATGAAGCTATCCATCCTAACACTTCAAGTCTATAAAAACGGGATTCTCTTTACAATGCAACTTCAGAGCTGATGCTTCTTGGAGACCACATCCTACAAATGCCTCATTTTGCAGGTGAAGAAACCGTAACTCAGAGATGGTAAATGACTTGCCCAAAGTCAGTCACGCCCCTGTGAATGCGGAGACAAAACCGCGGGTCCTTTGGTGCCCACTCCTGAAACCTTTCCTACACCACAGATGAGAGCACATTACAGACGGCTGGAGGAGGAAGCCTAGAAAGACCCTATAGTGCTTCAGGGTCTACTTTAGGGTGCTTTCCATTAGTAAATGACAAAGTTCCCAGTGTGAGATAGGAGAGAGGAGGGGAGGAGGGAGAGGGGACGGGGGAGGGAGAGTGGGGAGGGGGAAATGGGGAAGGGGGAGGGGTAGAGAGGGGATGGGGAGAGAAGGGAGCAGGGAGGGCATTTGGCATTCCTGTCAGAGATCCCTAAAATTAACCATTCTTAAATGTACAAAAATATGAGTTTAATATAGTCCGGTCCTACCCATTACTAACTCTCCCCATCAGTAGTTTTCGGGAAACAGATAAGAACATTATAATCCAGATTCTGCTTTGGGGAGGCACAAAAATCCTGTATTTTTCTATTTCAATCTAACATTTCAGGTAGAAGCTTACCATTTGGTAAGCACATGTTCCTAGAAGTTTGTCCTTGGTTGAGATTTGGAATAATGCCAACAAGCAATCGGTGATGCTCTGAAATCATTTAACACTGAAAAGATCTGATTCAGTTACAGCACAAGCCGAGGACTAAATTAGAAACTGGGCAAACTGGTCTATGGCACCACTCATGTTCCCTTCCTGAGCTCTCTTCTCAATGTCTGACACCTTACGCCCAGTCCCGGGCACTCTTTTGAGGGCTACCCACACCGTGGCATTACTCCTGACCAGCTCTGCCTGGGCAGGGGCTCATCATCCAGTCTTGCCTACCTTTCTCATTTGGACTCAAAGAGCTGGCCTGATCCCTCTTCCATTTCTTTAGGATGTTGCTTCCTGCGAGCTCACAGACAGCTAACTTGGTAATTACTTTATATTAACATGAAAAAACATATTCCACAAGAAAACTGGCTTTTACACCTCCCATCCTGACTTACAGGCTGTCCCTCACAGTCCTCACTTCTACGAGGATGGGCAACACAGACATTCCAAGTCACCCTTGAACTCAATGAAAAGAAGTACAGTGCCCTGTACGGTTTTGCCAAGTGGTTAGAGCATCGACCCCTGCACCAAAGGTTCTCATGTTTGAATCTCAATCGAGTTCCATCCCAGGCCTCGGTCGGGGCTCCTGCAGGAGGAACCAATTGATGTCTCTCTCTCACATCAATGTTTCTCTTTCTCTCTCTCTCTCTCTCTCTCTCTCTCTTTCTCTTTCTCTTCCCTTCCACTCTTTCTAAAAATCAATGAAAAAATATCCTCAGGTGAGGATTTTAAAAAGTGAACTGTAATGTCTATAAACTCTGGGTGATGATGATGCATCGGTGTAAATTCATCATTTGTAACAGACAAACCTGTCTGTGGGAAGCACTGAGAACAGGACAGGCTGTATATGTACGGGGACAGAAGCATGTGGTAAATTGTTGCCCAATTTTGCTGTGAACCTAAAACTGCTCTAAAAATAAAGTCTATTGAAAAAAATAACTACTAAGGTACCATGAGGTTTAAAAACAGTGATCTCAGAAAACATCTCCTATGTGTGATCTAATAGTGCTCAGTGACCCCCGCCCTCACCCTTTCCTGGAACGGCCAGTCACTAGCCAACTTGGAATGGACATGGGCACCCCCCGCCCTTCACCCTTCCACACCACGTCGTCACGAGTACAGTAGCCTTATGTAGTTTTTCCTCCAGTTTCTGGACCGATTTCATTTGTCCTTTGCTTACTCACATGTAGTAAACTAATTCAACATCAGGCACTATTTCTCATATTAAACATCCCTTAATACCTCCTTTTCTTTTCCCAATCTTTTTTTTTTCTTTTTTTTTTAAAAAAAAATATATTTTATTGATTTTTTACAGAGAGGAAGGGAGAGAGATAGAGAGTTAGAAACATCGATGAGAGAGAAACATCGATCAGCTGCCTCCTGCACACCTCCTACTGGGTATGCCTCCTACTGGGTATGTGCCCGCAACCCAGGTACATGCCCCTGACCGGAATCGAACCCGGGACCCTTCAGTCCGCAGGCCGACGCTCTATCCACTGAGCCAAGCCGGTTCTGGCTTCTTTTCCCAATCTTATGTTACTAAGTAGAGCATCTCTTGGTTTCTCCTATAAATAGAAATACTTACTAAGGTGCTTCTGTGCCTTCAAATTTAGGGGCCCAATGTGTTCTGCATACTAGGTGTTAGTTACAAAGAAAAAGTGGGACATCTAGATGAAGGAAAAGAAAACCAGAGGGTTTTAGGGCCAAAATAAACAAAAAAGAGCCCTGGCCGGTTTGGCTCAGTGGATAGAGTGTCAGCCTTCGGACTGAAGGGTCCCGGGTTCGATTCCAGCCGGGGGCACATGCCTGGGTTGCGGGCTCGATCCCCAATGCGGGGCATGCAGGAGGCAGCCAATCAATGATTCTCTCTCATCATTGATGTTTCTATCTCTCTCTCCCTCTTCCTTCCTCTTGAAATCAATAAATATATTTTTTTTAAAAAGAGTTTCAACCTTTAGAGTTGTAACTGTCAAGATGCCTTTTTAAATGCTACCAACAGTAATGCTAATTAAGCCTACTTTTCTTCAATCACCACTCAATAGAAAATAACATTTCTTTTTCACGTCATTATTTGCCTCTTTGTTTACCAGAATTGCAATATTAATTTGTACAACAATTCGTTGCATCTTTCATTTTAATTCTATCAAATTTCAGCTTCATTGTAGTATAAGTGACTCTTGTAGACTAACCTAAACTCTAATTGTGAACTTCTATATCCCCCAAATTCAAACTGACTTGAAAACTAAGCAGAACGATTCTGTCCATACTAGATTTTAACTCAAAAGTGCAAGAAGATATTCTACCTTGGTGTTCAAAACACCAGAAAACATTTAAATTAAGGTCAAGGTGGTTTTAGTGGTGTGAGCATGGCCCGTGGTTCTCAACCTTCCTAATGCCGCGACCCTTTAATACAGTTCCTCATGTTGTGGTGACCCCCAACCATAAAATTATTTTCGTTGCTACTTCATAACTGTAATTTTGCTACTGTTATGAATCGTCATGTAAATATCTGATATGCAGGATGTATTTAGGCGACCCCTGTGAAAGGGTCGTTTGACCCCCAAAGGGGTCGCGACCCACAGGTTGAGAATCGCTGGCTTATACAGAAGCTGAATTCACACTCAAGACCAGTGCTGGGTCCCTAGCTCAGCCACTTCATTTGGTTAGACTTTTGTGCATGACATTTTTAAATAGTGTTGTTTTTCTACTCTGTAATGTAAATAGTACACTGTGTCTTGTTTTCCAACAGGGGAGGCCATTTATAATGTCATACGTTTGTATTTAACTAGAAGAGGCTGTACCACATCCCGAGGGTTTTCTCTAAACCATCTCTAGACTCAGACTTGAAATATTTCTGTTGCAAAATACAGCGTTATAACACGTTCTAAATAACGCAAGTTTCGAGTCAATAAAAGTCAAATGCAAGTACACAGCATGCTGATGATTCTAAAGTGAGTCTTAAAAAATCAAAAGTTTCCAGACGGAGCCCGAAGAAGGCTGGACTCCAGACAGTGGCAGGGGGATGTGAAGGATGGAAAAGTCCAGAGACTCCAAAGCCCGAGGTTAAACCCTCGGAAGTCAGCAAAGGGACCGTTGCACTCAGAACCCGCGAGGAGGGACGCCCGGAAACGGCTCACACTTGCAGAGCGCGGCCAGAAACTGACACTAAAACTGACCTTCCCGCCTTAGAAAACACCACCCCTTTGCCCTGGGGGATCAGTTCTTTCCTCTTCGGCGCCGAGCAGAAGCTGCGTGTGACGCTGGCCGGGGAGTGCACCCCCAGGGAAAGCCCGGCAGGAGGCGGCCAGTAGCCCAGGCCCCCGGGAATGGCTCGGGTTCCCCCCAACTGGCTGGGAGGACGCCGCAGCCCGCGGGGCGGAAGGAGGGAGCTTAGGGAGGAGGAGAGGCAGCGCCCGGGCGGCGTGGTGCAAGGGAGGGGGTGGGAGAGAGGAGGAGGGGGAGGAAGGGGAGAAGCAGCAGTAGTTGGCGAAGGCTCGGACCCGCACACTCACCCCCGGGGCGCTCGGGCTGGATGGGCCGCCACCTCAGAGCCCGCTCGCTCAGCATCATGTCGCAGCTGCTCCTCCCGATCTCGAAGATGCCCCGGAGCAGAACCTGCTCGGCCGCCGCCGCCGGCTGCTGCGGGACCGCCCAAGGCACCGAGGGCGCCGCGGCCGCCGCCGGGGCGCCTCTTCCTCCCCGCCGCCCTCCAGGGCGCTCACGCGGCTGCCGCGCCTCCCCCGGGACATGGCGGAGCCGCGGGCTGGGCGGGGGCCCGGGGTCGTGAGGAGGGCGATTTGGAGGAGGAGGAGAAGGTGGAGGCCCGGCAGTCTCCACTTTAGCCGCGTCCCGCGCTGCCACAGCAACCGCACGCGGGGCTGAGACCCAGGAGGGGGCGGGGCGGGCAGGCGGGGCCGCCCGACCTAGTGCAGCACCGTTGCCTGCAGGCCTCTAGTCTCTGCCACTGGATACATAAAACCAGACAAACAGACCAAAAAAAGGCAGGTGCGAGAAGAGGAGTAAGTTGCTCTCTCCATCCAGGCCCGACTATTCAATGCAATGTAGCGCGTGGCGTTGCCCGCAGTTGGATACATCCGCGCTCCTCAAACTTGGTTGACTTTCATACTCACCCTCGTGGGCATCCTGTTGAAATGCACATTCTTATTGACTCGGTCTGGGTGGAGACCCAAAGTACTGTATTGCTGGGACGCTCCCAGGCGTTGCTGACGCCGCTGAGCCGCGGAACACACTTTGAGTTGCAAGGATATACCCCCCACCCCCGACCCGGGCCTCCCCTTCCTCTGCAGAGGCCTCTCCTGGGGAGCAGAGGTCGCCCTTTGTAACCACGCGCGCACGCCCTCAATAATTAGCTGATCTTTATGCAGCTGGTGTAGAATGAGCACGGGCTCGATTCCCAAAAGCCCTGAGAGGAAGTCAGAGATAAGACCTTGGTTTGCATAGGCCCATTCTCAGCCGGCAGGTTTAGTGTTAAAGGAGGGTGCCTCCCTGCCCCAAGATACCGCTGTCCTGTCCTTGCCCGCCTCTGGCACTCCCTCCCTGGAGAGAGACGACTAGCAGCAGGACTTGCGCTCCTGGAGGCCTCTGCTGCCATGTAGTGTTACCTGCACTGGAGAGAGCCTGGGCCTCGCCCTTCGCCTTCTCCTGGTAGCTGCGATGCCTGGCCTTAGCTGAGAGTTGATTTGGAACGCGTGGGGAGCCTGGGGGCCCCCCCGCGGTCCGCAGTGATGGCTGCACATGAGTTTCCTGGGAAGATTTTTAAAACCCAGGTGCCCAGGCCGCACTCAAAGACGATTGAATTAGAATCTCTGGGGATGGGACCCAGAGTTCAGGAGTTTTAAAAGCTCCCCAGGTGATTCCAATGTTCGGGGCTGAAGAAAGCTGCTCTACGCAGCGTAATAATGGGGGAGGGGGCAGAGTGGAGGGAATCAGCAGGTGTTTCATAAGGTCAGAATAACTTGAAAAAAAGTTAGGGGTCAGGGAGTTAAAGAGGAAATTAAATCAATAGAATTGTAAATCTAATTCTGGTGTGCCGGTGCCTAACCAAGGACATCCTCATCTCTGGTCCTACTGAAAAGTTATGGTAGCAGGAGTGACTGAAGGTTCTCTGCTCAAACTTGGATTTCAAAAAAAACCAGGGAGGTAGACTGTCTGGTGGCCCAGCCAAATCCCTCTCAGACAGAAAACACCTGTGTGCCAGTTAAGCTAGGACTCTCGCTGTTCGATGCTCTGAAAACAAACACCAGGCTTCCAGGCAAAGCGGGAAGAGCCTCGGATTGATCTGATTACAGCGAGCTGTTTCTTGGAGCAGAAGCGCAGCTGCTGCTAACCCCACGCCGGCTTCAGGTGGCCCAGGGAGGAGGCATCCGTGGGGCAGGCTGGTGCCTCTCAGAAGGAGTCGCAGCTCTGGAGTCAGCGTCTTGTAGTCACAGCTGTCGGGCAGGCAGCACAGTTAGAGCTCCCTGGCCCTCTAGAAGCTCACTGGGAGCCCTGGCCAACGGGCCAACAGGGTGGCTACTTCTTAGGACCTTTTAAAAAAATTCAGTCAGGTCAGAAGGTCAGAAACACAGGCTTTGCATTTCTCGAGGACGAGAGTAATGGTGTTGCTCCATTCTCTGTGTTTGATGAGCTGTCCTCTTCCAGGCTCTAAGGTTGCAGGGCCCCGAGGCTCTGTCCTCAGGATCTATCCACAGAGGCATCAGTTCCTGAGGATCACCTGCCCCATAAGTGACTCATATATCTAATACGTCAATGCCTGAAAATTGCTCTGTTAAAATGTCCCGGAAGCTTCCTGAACATCGCTTTCGCTGCTTCAGCTGAAGCTTGGGTGTTTGTTTCCAGAGCATTAAACAATAACCTGTCCTTTCTTAAAAGCAACATAGCTGCTTTTCCTTTGGAAGTCATTTGGCCAGGTTTAGAAACACAGTCTCCATCCCTGTTTTTTTTTCTTTTTTTGTTTGTTTGTTTGTTTTAGAAATCTACATCTGAGCAGACCTTGGGGAAAAAAAACTCTGCTATTAACATTCTTTTCCGGAGGCCAGTAAGTACCTGGGCAAATCCCAGGTATGGAGCTCTGATGGTATAGCCTCCTGAATTTGAGATCATCTCCTCTCACCTCCTCTCAGATGGAGGCTGGTAAAATCACAGCCTACAGGGGCATTCGGACTTCCTGCTTCAAGGGCAGGGGACAAGGAAGTCTGATGCCTGAGCTTTGGCCAGTGGGTAATTCTATGTCACTCCCTTTGATCTCTCAAAGTCTCTACTGGCTTCAACGTTTGGAGTTTATGTGACAACTGATTGAGCGCCTATGTTATCAGGTTACCATCAACATAATTATTTTTCAAACTTCAGCTTACTTTACAGAATATTTTTCATTAAGGACTGCTCAGTACAGGTAGGATGAAATCCAAACTCCCACCCTGACCTATGAGAGCCCATGTGATCTGACTCTGCCACCTGCTCAAACCCCATCTCCTATCCTTTTTCTTCTATTCTTATTATATTTAGGTCTAACCACACTGGCCTTGTCATTCCTCATATAAACCAAGTTCATTTGTCGTGAGGGCCTCTGCTGCTGTTGTTTACTCGGCCTAAAACCATTGTCATCATGGTATGGCTTTGCATGGGGCCCAGATCAACTTGATGTCACTTTCCCAGATCTTTCCTGGCCAATCAAGAGTTGACTCCATACTCAATGTTACTTTCTTCATTACACTCACCACTATCTAAAAGTTTATAGTCGATTTGTTTACTTATTTCTTATCTGTCTCTCTTCTCCCATTAGATCGGTACCTCAACAATAACAGTGACCTAGTCTGCTTGTTTATGGCTCTACCTATGGTGCCTAAACAGTGATTTAGCAAAACAGACGCTCAATAAATGGGTTTGTTGAATGCATGAATGAACAACTTTTTAAATTGAGTTCCTGTATTAATTTCAGATATTGTTCATGTTATATCTCATGGGTGAGAAAAAATTCATGACATTGAATTTCTTCGTGTCAATCTACATTTTGGGTGAAGTGATCTTTGATTACACCCATCTCTCAGTCATTCCTGACGCTAAATGGGCACATCATCAGTGTGTCAAGGGAATGGCTTTCCTCACATGGTGAGTGGAGATTTTGTCAGTGTTCTTGCTACTCTGGCTCCTCTACCTAAAAGGTGGAGAGCCATATGTCCTTACAAGAAATACAGAGAAGATAGAAGAAATTTTAAAGTCCCACCAAGTCAGAATATCACATTTTCTACATGTGCCAGTTTTTCACACTCAAATCTAAGCTCTGCTTAAAACTCTAGAAACTCTGTGTTCCAGGGCACTTCTCCCCTGAGTATGTGATGACAATGATCTCTAGCTCCCCAAAAAGCAATAACAATGAATAACACAGAAAAGGAGAATAGGCCCTTCTTCCCTTCCCCTCAAGTTTTTAAGATCCCCTTTCAGGTAGGTCTTGATGTTTATAAACTTGGAACAAACTATTTGAAATGTATTTCTACCAAATAGAGGGTTTTAGACTCTCATAGTAACTACTAGCAATGCCATAATATAAAATCTTAAATCAGGTATAACCAGATACACAAATAGAAAATTTAAATCAGAAATCTACTTTCATTTCCTATAGCTCACGCTATTACAGCTGTGAAAAAGGCATTACACAGAGAAGGCAATGTCCCTTCTCACTATTGAAAATAGCCCATTGCTTTCAGGCCTCTTGCCCATAGACATCAAAGAGTTTGGTACTAGGTTCCCTGTTTTTTACTTTTACATCATTTTCTGTTACCATTTGGAGGACTTTGGTGTCCTTTATAGTGCCCAGGTCTCAAATTTCCATGACAGCTTCATCCCAACTATCTGTGGTACCCTCCATTGCCAGCTCCTATAATTATATCCTCTGGACTTCATAGACTTCTTGAATGCTTCAACTCAAATAAGCACTCTTTCTGACACAGCCTCCTGCTCCTTTCAAACTTGGATGTGCTTAAGTATGTTCAGTTTGTTCTAAAGGAAAAGTCAGAGTCTGTACTCCGCCCTGATGCTCTCAGATTTTGAATCCATAGCTGAACTATTCCTAGAAACATGTATTTTAAACAAGCACACCAGATAATTCCATGGATGTTAGACAATAAAAAACAACTCTTACCATCAGTGAGTATTCTTTCCTCTTCATTCTTCCTTTGTACCACAAGGCTTGTTTACTTGTCAATAATTTACAAATAACAGGACATCAAGCTAAACGTAGTTTTGAAATAAGATTTGACTTTTTCACATAAACAGAGGCCCAGAGTCAGGCTGTTCTGGGGGATGGTCATTAAAAACTCAGGGGCTTTCTACTCCACTGGGTCCAGGTATCAACAAGGATACCACTGTGGCTCCCAGGTGGCTGCAGGAGCTCTAAGCATGATATCCTCTTCCCAGAATGTCTACACACACATCAACACAATAATGCCCAGATCTAGTTGAACTAAAACTCCTGATTAATTGAATACCTTCAGAAGAAATAACCACTAACTGGTATTTCTGAGCAATCAAACCAGTTATGTCATCAGATGTACAGCCATAGATAAATAAGATTGCAATCTTAGCCTTTATGTTTTAAGCTCACAAAGGAGACTACTGGTTCAAGGCCCTACATAACCTGAAATAGAGAGAGCTTTTAGAATTCATTGCACTTAAATTCATTTGGTAAAAAATAAAGTTATGTACTTTTATACATTATAAAATTGTGCGTTAA